CGAAATGCCTTCAAATTTTTATGCCAACTGAAAAAGATCGATTTGTAAAAACTTGCACCCGTGATCTTAGTGAATGACCCACTGGTTTTAATTTGCCCAAGGGAAGCCAAACTCTGAGCTTTGAATAAAACTTGAAACAATCGCGTTTTTCTACTTTTTCTATTACTAGTAAATTCAAATCTATTGCTTATTCTGTTTGGAATCATTTCAAACGCGTTTGTTAAACAAATATATACAAATAATTACTATATAATAATACATTTAATTGTTAAGCTTTATTGTCATACAGTTGAAAATACGTAAACTATTTAATAATGCCAAATGATATCAAAGAATTTGGCTTCATCAAATAACTCATTTGCTAGTCAAAACTGATAGAAGCCAAATTGCTGAGCTTTGTTTGGTGAGATTTTAAGTAAATCTAAGATTATATTTGTCTATTTTGATTACGTAGCAATGTATGTATGAATCTTTTAAGTCAGTTAAATAGAAATAAAATAAGACAGAAACGAATTGAAATCGATGAAAATGATAAGAGTGAAAGAGAGAAGAGATTAAGGGCTTGTTTAAGGAATAAGAACAAAGTTTTGATAATTAACAATTTGAGACCCACCTGTCACCATTATCACAACTAATACTTTGCAACGGTGTACATCAACCGCGAAATGTTCGCAAAGGATTAGAGAAAGCCAGATAGACTGGTAGATGACAATGATAATGATGATGGCGGTAGCAAGAAAATCGTTCTTGGTGCTGTCAACCAAGAAGAGCGGAGCAGGTGGGGACAATGAACCAACCATAACACCATTTGAAAGATGTCAATTTTGAACATCTGTCTAACTATTCATGCATCCATACATCCATGCATTCATTCATTCCTTCATACTTTTATTCATTCTTTCGTTCAAGCATTCCTGTATTCTCGTCTAGTCGTCTTCAAGTATTGAACTGACCAAAATTAACGATAATTTCGCTCTACTTATTCTAGAGCGGGAGTTAATTGCGAATTTGCTAGTGAAATTTTATCTTTATTTACTGTTCTAATCATTTTTTATTCTGTTGTATGGGGTATTTTCGTATGAGGTTGATAAATGTTGCTTAGCAAATTCCTTCCGTAAAATTATTCATTATAGTAGAAAATATTTCTGAATAAGACAAAAAAGTCGTATAAATTATAATGGATTTATCTATAGTTTACTTTTTTATTCACAGAAAATATAAAAACTAAAATGTAATGATAGAATGATTCAAAGTTGATACCCATGTAAGCCTTTAAAAGATGCGTCTTTTTTCATGCGAAACTGGTCGCATTTTTTCCATATAAAGCATGATAAAGTTAACAGCATGATTCAATTTAAAAATAAAAACCAACTTAAAAACTAAATAATGAATTCATTCGTAAAAACATTCAAGTGAGCTAGGCTATTTTGGGTAACTGTCCCGAAATTAGCCAAATTACCATCATAAAATAGTGTTTTGCAAGTACATATAATATGTATGTATGATTTTAAAAAATGACAGATATGTTATTCGAGATCAATTACATCGTGCCAATTGATCCAGCGATTGGCGATTGGACCAATCAATCTACTAATTTATTTAATTTACCCAGCAAATAGTGGGAAAACTGGATTGAATTCCGGGATAATCCAATGCAATACAAGATGACATGATGTATGCTTATTTTCTACTCATAAAAATTTATAAAACTATTAATCAGTGATTTCGATTGTATAAAACGATTAGAGAGTAGGATAAATGTCTGAAAAAATAACAAAAACTGAGAAAAACCTGATATAAATGATATCCTATAGGAGTAACCATCACTATTATCATTTATTCATGACTATTAATTTATTCCGACCTCTTTTTCCTGCTCCTTATTCACACCCACACTTTCTAATACAACTTTGTCGAGTCCCATCATCAGATATACAAAATTATTTTTACAAAATCTGGTTCAAAAACAAACCATTGCACGCAAAACAATTAGTATTTTAATCCACTCATCTAACACTTATTTCTTAACTTTCGATTACTTTTCTCTCACTTTCCCTCATAAACCGGAACTAAAACTTATCAAGAAATCCAGTTTTTGAAAAAAATATTCCAGTTTTCCACTAGAATTATTACTGAAACATATTACCGAATTTGCTACTCACATTTTCCTCTTCCGAAATCTAATCACTCAACAAAACCCACAATCATATTTCTTCCATCACAATCTCCACAATCATATTTCCTTCATCAACTTCAAGTACCACAAATTATCCTTATCAATCCAAACTTATAATGTTGCCAATATTCCTGATCTTCATTCATCCTAAAAACTAAGATTTCGATCTAAATCTACCATAAGTCGCCGATAACACAGTATTCTCATATCAACGGAAACTTTGAATTTCACTTAAACCAAGACTTACTAGGTCACATGTGAATAAGTATTAAATGTTACTAACAAATAAAATGAAGAAAAAGATACAACGGATAGTGAGGAACCCACAAGCTACAGTTGGTAATGAAATTAAAGCTGAAAAGAGACAGGACAAAATCTTGTTGTGTGACCGGTATCCACGTCATCATTGACGTCAGCGCAATCAAGAAACTAGTAGTATTAATTATCCATCAGTCTGATTTTAAATCACAATGTCTCTCTTCCATGTGATCTTTTGACCTCACTTCCATTCAACAATGAAATAAAGAAAGATACATAAAATGAAACTTTATTAGAACTATACAATAACTAATATTTGAATAAATAAAAATTGGTGTCATCCTATTTCCGATAATTTCCAGATCTCTTTTTTCTGCATCAAAAAATACGAATTAATAGTTCGTATTTTCATGTCTTAAAAGCTTGAATGCCGCAGAATATATAAACATTAGAGATTGGAATTATGATTCACTTCAATTTGTGAACAAAAAACGAAAATGATTCTTTTTCCATGTGCGCTAGAATTATAATACATTTCGTCAAATTTATTTCAGCTCGATATCTTGCACAAACTAATGATTGTACTGAATAAATCCTACACATGATCTTATATACAACTAATGTCAATTTACACATAGTGCACTTGACAATCTTCATCTATTCAAGCTTTAATAATTAAAAAAAGGCACATAACATGGAAATAGAATAGATTAACCCTATCTCAATACGTTTTTTTTAGTGTCATAGTATTCTAAGTACTTTAATTTAAATGGCACAAATTTAAATATATGAAATATTGGTTTTCATACGAAAATTAAAAAGCTGCTATCTACAATACATTCAACATTTCACCTACTTTCAATATAATTAAGCTAGTTACTATACGTGTGTTTATCGTATTTTTCGAGTGCCGCGAAACATTTAGAATTTTTCGGAGTAGACAGTTCGTCCTCTCTATTCCGATGCCACCTGTAACCGAAGCCTGCAGTAGGCATTTCAAGACCAAAATTTTTTCGCGGCTCTGTTTCTGGCTTCATCACTTCCTCACGACTAAAACACAATCAATTTTCAGACCAAAGCAAAATTAGACAAAAAACTATGACAAAAATTGAATGAAATAAAAATCTGAACATATTTTGTGGATTTTTTACACTCAAAAGATAACAAAAAGTTCTAATATGCTTTAATTTATCAGGACTCAAATGTTTGTAAAAAATAAGTACAAGAGAACATATTACTAGAATATTTAGAACTTTGAAAACAATAAACAATATAAAATTACTTTAGTGTTTCACCCTTAAGGCTTTTAAAAGAAATGCCAGTTGCATCAGCTGAATAAACACATTTTGGAGGCTCAACACTGTGCCGAGCATCGCGATCTAAATAATAATTGTCCGATAATTTATGGTGCACACCACCAGGTAGCGATACAGGTAAACGACTTCGGGCAGATTGCGTCTTTGGAAAACGATTCATTTCATAGAATCTGCTCTAAAAAACAAAACACAATATCATTATTGGTTAATTGAACCTCCAGTAATATTAAGAAAAAGTTATGGATGAAGATTACAGGCTAAAGAAACAGCGCAACCCTTTATATCATTTAAATACTTTTTAGGCTACAAAAAACAGTTCAAATACTACTAAATTTTTTAACCTTGAAGTTACCTACCTCGCCATCAGCCGTCGGTAAACCAGGAGGTGGAGTTTTACGATCTCGATATATCGCATTTAACTTATCTCGTATCCATACAATGATCGGCGTTTGCGCTCGATTAACAACCGATTCTGACGCTATTTTCGGCAATTTACTCATATTGTTCGAATTTATTCTGTTTTATGACTATAAGACTGTAAATTAATTATTGACAAAAGATGAATATAAGAAATGTTCGTTAATTTTCTAGCAAAAAAAAAATGTTTGATCAGTAAAAAAACAAGTAAAAAAGTACTACCAAATTCATATTTATGACTAATTCCAAAACTATCTGAATTCCAATGCATGAACTTTGCAAATTTTACACTTCTCTCACTTAAATTTTAAAAGTGAGAGAAGTGTACAATTTGCAAAGTACTGATGAATTAATTAAATGAAAACTGCATGTACATTAAAGCATTTCTGCATACTAATGAATTTTTGAATCAAAGGCAAATACTTTACACTCTTTAAATATACTACAAGGAAAACTACTACTTTATATCTGCTTTAAATAAAACCTTCCATCCTTCAATAATTTAGCGGTTAATATCAGCACATTTTTTTGATAGATGGAGTTGCAGTAAATAATGCGGCCCAAACTGTGTCTCAAGAACATCCTAATAGTAAAATCCATTTATTGACTTCCTGTAAGTCATATATATCAGTGCAATACTTGCTTTCATTACTTGAAAAAAGAAAATTGAATAAAGCTTTCTTTTTTTCGTTTCTAATTTTTTCTTCATCTTTCATGATTTTTCTTTATTGGAATTATCTGAAAGGCTACAAGTATTTAGCTTTAAAGTGGATTTTCTCAAGCTTTTCCAGAAACATTTTTGCTATTCTCATTAGAGATTTGTGCGTTGCTTGCATTCATTATTGCATTTATCATGCAGATTAAAACTAATCATTTATAACAAAATTGGAATATTTCATTTTGTGATTATTTTTTGCTTGTTGAAATAAGAAAAAGTCCTTTTTGCTTCTGCTGCAATGATAGCTTCGAATTTTCCATCATGGAAGTTAATTCACTGGAGAGTTGAGTGCAAGTATTGCACTCTACTCAAAATTAGTTTTAGTAAAAATAGCTTTATACACGTTTAATGGTTTTTTGTTACACACTAATCATGTCATCAGTTTTCTTTCCTCTTTTCTTATTTGAAAGGGCTGAGCAAGCATGAGGTCAGGGCTAAGCAGAGCTCAAACAGGTAGAGCAGGCATGAGGTCAGGGCTAAGCAGAGCTCAAACAAGTGGGGCAGGCATTGTCGTGGAAATTGTTGCGTTGAATCTAGAAGTAAAAAGCTACTTTTTTCTCGCTTATTTCATTTTCTTAGCGATGTCATCTGAAGCGCTTATATGTATGTCTGCTTTGTTAATGTACAGTACCGTAAATTATTTGATGGCACACTCATTCATTGTCTCATCTAAATTTGCGTTCTTTGTGGTAGAGAAAAGTAAAAATGTTATATGAAATATTGTGCGTGAAAGATTGAATTTGTTTCAAAATAAAATGCTCAATTAAGCGTTTATATTTTGCGCTCAAAAATTGATAATAAACTTATAAGTACAATAATAGTAAATGTATACTCATGTCATTGTTATCTCAACTCAGTCAATTGCTTCTAAAAAATACCTTCTGTAAGACCAATGCATTTGTTCTTATTTGGCGAACTTAATTGCTCAATCAATCAGTTAACAGTTGTGACAAATTGTTACGTAACAGCGTAATCAGAAGTATACAGAAGTAGAAATAAGCACCTTCTTTTTTTTGTACATCATAATAAGTCTCATTTGTGCAAGTTGAAATAACCTCAAAAATTCTGTCAAAAATGAGAGTAAAAAAAATATGCATCACACAGAGTTCAAAAAAAAAAGAAAGTTTGCTGAGATGTCTAGCATTTCTTAGTTCTTAGCTAAAGCAGTAGCTTTGCTAGCAAAGAGTAAACATCTGGCAAGCAAGCAAATAAGCATTCTTATTTATATCTCTTTTATAATTTTTTTTTTTTTGACAAATTTACTCTTGAAAAATTGTCTCAATTTTTTCATAAATTATTATCAGCATAAAATTGAATAAATATTCCCAAAAGTATACTCTTTTAAAGCTATAAATTGACTCTTCGACACATAAAATTACTCTTTTATGCAATAACATTTGCAATCACTTTTGTACATTTTCTGCCTACATTGTGCTTTTTCAAAGTGACCAAAAAGAGATGCTATCGTTGTGTTTACGACGATATTAATAAGTCTACTTGTGATGCTAGCAGTAATCTTTTATTACTGCGTAGCAATACGCAGTATGCATGTTGAGAGTACTAAATAGCTTGCAGATTTGCATTAAAATTTGAAAGAAAAAGCACAATTCACACTAAAGTGATAGCTAGCAGTGAATTTAAGAAGATTTTTTTTTCATTTCGCTTGGTTACACTTTCTCTATTCATTTTTGCATGTTTAGCTATCCAATATTAATTGTGCAATTTCATTTAATTAAAATTTTTTTTGCATTTATTTATTTATTTATTTTGCAATTTTTACTTTCAATATTGCTTTTGTCTTGCTGAGACATGCAGATGTGTTTATTAGCATTGCCATCCATGTATGCAAGAAGTCTTCTACATCATCAGCAAAAAATGAATTAATTACTGAGTGCATTTGTTAATGCATTTTGATAAGTTACAATTTTATGGATGAAAGAGTAAGAGAAAAAGTAATACTAATAAGCTACATCAGTATGTCTAATTATTAATATTTATTTACTTATTATTATCAATTTACTCATTTATTTTTATTCACTTTTCTACATATTCATTTATTCTTCTTATTCATTTTGACTATTTATTTCTGCTTCTTCCTGTATTCTCTTATTTTACTTATCTAAATTTTGTTCTTTCTTGTCAACAAAAAATTTTATTGTAAACTTAGTAAAAATTATTTTACAAAATTATTTATATGCATTAAAGCTGTACAAATGATGTAAGAAAGCTTAGCTTAGCTTTATCTAAGTTTCATTGCATCATTATGTTCTATTTGTTATTAAATACGTTTGTTTATCTCTCTCGCATTTCTGCTAAATTTTTTGCTATTCCATGTGTGGAAAATGTTATTTGTTGTTTATTTTTCGTTATATATATATATATATATATATTTTACTTTTTTCAAAATAAAAAAGCGTGAGGATAATGAATTTCTTGAATAATATTATGTATAATAAAGTTTTGATTGATTTTTGAAAAGTTATGCAAATAAAGAATTGAACTTGAATTAAATTTAGTTGATTTATTTGAAATGGCTTGGTATATTGAAGAGCAAGAAAAAGTCTATTTGGATTACAATGCTACAACGCCAATTGATAAAGAAGTTGAACGAGCAATGATTAATGCTTTCCGAATATGGGGTAATCCAAGTAGCAACAACCATTTCGGTAAGAATATAATCCATCATGTTTGCATTCTTACAAATATACACTGAACTATTTCTGTCAACTTCTTTTGCTGTTTATTTTTGCTTCAGTATTAAAAAAAGAAAGAAGAAATAAAAATTTGACTTATTCAATACTTTACATCGAATAGAAACTGAGAAAAAAATAACAAGCAAACATGTTTTATAAAAAAAGTAAAAAAATATATAGGCAAAAAAGCAAAGAACGCAATTGAAGAAGCCCGCGAAGAAATTGCCAAATTATTGCATGTATCTTCCAAAGAAGTATTCTTTACCTCTGGTGGTACCGAGGTTTGCTTTGTTACACTTCGATCTATGCTCTTACAAAATTTATCAATTTGTTACGTATAAAGTATTGAAATGGAACTGACTAATAAATACAAATGCACCCAAACGCATCGTTTTTACTAATTTTTGAAAACTATTTTATTTCTAATGATGCAATTTTCTGGTTTTTTTTAAGGAAAAAAAGCGCAATTTCGTACTTTGCTGCTTATTTTTCTTTCTTTTATTTGATTACGCAAGAAAAAGAGAAATACTGATGTATTTTTGTTCAATACTTGCTTGGAAATAAAATTTAGTATAGTTTAGACTAATAATTGGGTGATATACAATTGTATTGAGCATAAAAAAGCCGTCTGGGGTCGAGAATACAAACCTCATGTAATAACTTCAATTATCGAGCATCCATCAATTCTAAATGCATTACGCGATTGGAAAAAGAAACAAGAAATTGGTTTATCTTCGAAATAATTTTCCTAACTATTATTGCTTAGCTATTAACAAAAAGATACGAAGTTTAGTTTAATATTAAGATTCTGTATTAATTACACTGTTTATATTTCTGATAGATTTTCATAGAAAAAAAAAATCCGGTTATTAAACGTGTATCAGATTTACTAATCTAGTTTTTCTTATACGTTTTTGATGACGTTTTTCAATAGATTTGACCGAAATTGGTGTTGATCCTGTGACCGGTCAAGTAAATTTGATTGATTTGGAAGGAGCATTTTGCGATCGAACTTGTTTGGTAACTGTGATGACGGCAAACAATGAAACTGGTGTAATACAACCTGTTGCTGCTGTTGCTGAAATTGCAAGGTTCTTACGTTAATATTATAGTGCTACTCGTCATCACCAGTATTTTCAATTACATTTAAAACATTATCAGAAAGTATTTAATCATTCAGTTTTTATCAAAATTATTTGTTCTTTCAGTTTTTAATATCAGTGAACTGGTTTTTTGGAACATTCTGAGTTTTATTGGTAATTTCTCTAATTCATGTTTCACATTTTCATTTAAGGAGATGTGAAGAAAAATTTGAGGGACGTGTATTTGTGCATAGTGACGCATCTCAGGCAGTTGGTAAAGTGGATGTCAATGTTAATGCTTTGAATGTTGATTTCGTTACCGTTACGGGACATAAATTTTATGGACCGCGAATTGGAGCTTTGGTTATCAGAGCAGAAAAGAAAGTACCACTTAAAGCTATGCTTCTTGGTGGTAATCAGGAGCAAGGCAAACGAGCTGGGTATGGGACTTTGGGATTAGTTTTTCTCGATTCATCAATTAATATTATAAAAAATTCTTGTTTTTTATGAGATCCTTGGCAATAATTGGAATTATGCGAAGGGAATGATGGGATTAAATGAAATATTTTCAATTTATTATATTGTTTTGCCAAAAATAATCAATAATCATATTAATGGTTTTCTTCTATTTTTTCCGTTTTCAGGACAGAAAACACACCGATGATTGTTGGATTAGGGAAAGCGGCTCAAGTGGCTTTCAGCGGCCTTCAAGAATTTTCAGAACATATGCAAAAAGTACGAAATTATTTCGAAAGAAGGCTTAAGGTAAGGTATTAAAAGAAATACTTTTGTGATGAAGTTTATTATTATGCTAGCTTAGGTACCTTCCGAGATAAAATGTTAGTGATAACTTTTTTCAAACAGTTATTCCATAATATTGCATTCTTCTCAGCTTTACTTTAATTCCTTTTTCTAGGTAGTTTTATTGCTCTATTCATTATAGTTTTTATAGACTTTAAAGAAAAAGATTTGATTATTAAATGCGTATTAGATTTGCTTAGTTAGTTTTTCTCCTACATTTCTAAGCACGTTTTTCATTAGACTTGACCGAATGAAAAACTCCTATTGGCAATTCAATTTTTAAAGGAGACATTCGAAGATGGCATTGTCATTCACTTCGAAGAATCTGATCGTTTACCGAATACGAGTAGTGTGGCATTTTTAAGATATTCTGGAGATGCTTCTGATTTACTTTCCAAATGCAAATCATTTATTGCAAGTACAGGAGCTGCATGTCATGCAGCAACTCAGCAGTTAGTTTACTTGTAAATCAATAGCATGAAAATATTCTTTAATCGTAGTTAGTCAAATTACTAGTTTAATCTTGTTTTAAAAACTTATATTTCGTTAGATTTCATGAAATAAGGATCGTCTTGATAAAAGCTTTTTGTGTCTTAATTCCTTTTTCTGGTAAATAATTGCTATGCAGCACTATGAACTATGTTAGAAAGTAAAAAATTTCAAATACAGTAATTTTTTGAAATTAAAGCTTGTACTATATAATTCAAATATTTTTATGTCTGGATTTTCTGTTCGTACGAAAAGTATTTTTAGATGTTCACAAGTGTTGACGGCAAGTGGTATTCGATATGAGGTTGCTCTTCAAACTGTACGATTTAGTTTTGGTAGAGAATCAAGGTGTGATCAAGTCGATCAAGTTGTAAATGAACTAAAAGCTATCATCTTCATGAGTAAACATTGTAGTTCTCTTTTGAATGCTATTAATAAAGGACCGGTTCCAGGTTTTTGAGTAAAAAGCTCTTGTAAAAACATTTGTAAAGTGGCGCTTGTTTGATTTTGTATATTTGCAAAATATGCAGGATTTTTTTACGAAGCTAGTAACTTGTATGATTAATCTTGATCCTTCTGATTAGCTTATTAACCAAAGATATATTTTTTTAAGAAAAGAGAAAATGCAGTGGTGAGCAAATGTGCAAAGAACATATTTTTGTGGATAGCTAAAAAAAAATTCGGATAACTACTTTAGACTTTGTTCGGAATTTACTGTAGGGCGTCTTGAGATTTTTCATTACTTAATGTACGTTAATTCTGCTTTTTTCTTCGTCAGGTATCTCCTTCATTTCCTCTCTGAAATGATCTTGCTGTAAAGTTATCCTTTATATTTTTGTACAAGTTGTATGCTATCATCTGTTGCTGCATGTGTATTTTTTTCGCATCAGTTTTCTCTACATGAGAATTTGTTAGACATCGTAGTTTTGGCGTCTTAAAATGCTGTAAAAATATTTATTGAAGGCCTTGTCTAAATTCTAGAGAACTAATCTGCTTTGAATAATAACAGATTCACTTTGAAATGATAAACAGTGTTGTCATAAATTATGCTTGTGTAAACATCAATAAATTTTCTTAGCGACTAACTTTCCTGAAAGGGATTAGAGTTTGTTGAATCTGTATAGAATCAAAAAATATCATGAAAAAGGTTCTTAGTTCATTTTCGTTAAATTGTATTACCAACTTTATTGCCTGGATTAGGGATTTGTGTAATCGACTGAGTGCTAATTTAAAGGTATCAACGAAAAAGTGAATCAATTCTACGAGGAAAGGTCACTTTTCATGGTTTTCCTTCTGACTACATGAGGTAAGAAAGAGTGAGTTCTAAACAAGAATTTTCGCTGAAAATCAGCTTAAATGTGTCAATATTGACCAGTTCTACAATAAAAAATAAAATTTATTTCGAATTAATTTTATTTCAAATACAATCAAATGCCATCATTACATATTATTTTCGCGCGTTCCTTGTGGTTCACTCATCATGTATTCCGAAGAATCCGACTGTTCACATTGTTGATCTGTAAGTCAAGCTATCAAAAAGTGAATATATTGTGCAGTTAGTATTTGCTATCAAATTTTTTCTCGGAACAGAAAATAGCATCAGTGAAAATGATAGCATCAGAATAGCATCAGTGAAAATGATAGTATCAGAATAGCATCAGTAAAAATGATATATGTAATAGCAAAAAATACAGCGCATTTCTGGCGCAATATAGGCCGATATGGTGCCATCATCACTTGGAGTCAAATCCGAAACAAACTGATGACTTTGCGCTGTCATTACAGCAACACTCGATGGAGTAAATGGAATCTGATGGCTAAAATTATCACAAACGAGATTACAGAAAATTCTTCATCATCTATAAAGTTATTTTACTCAAGAAGTTTTAAATATTAGCCACCATAAGCTGTAGCTTTTTTGTGGTACTCAAAATATCAGAAAAATGACGCGGAATTATCAAGAATTCCCTCTAGCTGTCGCAATAAATTCTCTTCGGAAATTTATATTATTATCAATCAAACAATACCAAATTATTATACTGTATCACAATAGTTGTTAGTACAAATAACTTACAAATCGGGAAGTGCTTGTATTTCACGAATTTCCTCATCAGTTCGCAAATTACGACCAACAGTATATTGCGAATCAACTATATCCGGTAGTTCTCTGATATGATTCTGCTTAAAAACAAACATTACAAACTGCTAATTTAATCTGATTTCTAGCCTAAATTTTAAAGAGATTCAATTTTCATTTCATTTTCAAACTCAAAATAGGCGCAATTATTATATTTAATAGAATATACTTCGTCTTCGGGCATATCATATCTATCGATAATTGGCAATACATTTGGGTTATCACTGACGATCGGAGGAATTGCCCGTAAATCTTCGTGTTCCTCACGTGTAAGTGCCTTTTTCCCAATCACGTGATCTTCACGAACAAATTCTGGATGTGCATTAATTTCCTAAACATAATTTTATTTTGCATCAAAAAACACAGATTTGAAATTAATGCCTCCTTCACATGCTGATTTTAAAAAAAATGAAGTTATTTTGTCTTGCAATACTGCACAATTAAACTAAAAAAGTTTTACAATTCGTAAACCATGCATATATACGAACCATAATTTCAGGTGAAGTAAGAGTAAAGGGCATTATTCTTGTTGAACCGTTGCCGATGTTTCCTGAATGATCATGATGATTAAAATAAATAGTATCAAGTTATTCACAATCAAATTCAAAAATATTTCTTGATGTGAACTGAAGAGATTACGTTTTAAACATTCATTAACTACTGATTTAAATACAGTGAATAAAGCGAAACTTCTTAAGCATAGGTAGATATGAAGTAATCTCAAGAAAATCGATCCTATTGTTAACAATTTTAGCTTTGCTTAATAGTCAGCTAAGTCCTTCCTCTACCATTCACTGCTTGTGAAATATCCAAAAGTTTACCTTCTGAATAGAAATTCATATCATTTTGACAACCCAAATGGAATGGAGTATAATATACGTGATAATTGCCCATTTGCTGTTGAAGAATTGTAGGATCCGTGAAAGTTGGCCCATATATATTATCTGTAGATGAAATTGATTTACTAATAAGTTCTGAAATTTTCAACAATTTTCACTGATTAAAATTATAAATCTGTATAGTAGTATCTTCGAGACCATTTGGAAAATAGAATAGAATATTCTGGGAGATGTACCATCATTTATGAGGAGCTATTATTTCAAACTAATCAGGTTTATTTTTGATGGAAAAAAAGACTTGATATATTAATGATCTCTTCTTTTGAGAAACAACCTTGCACAGTGAATGGGTCAGGCAATTTCTGAATAAAAGCCAGACTTTCTTTACTGTATACATGACTTTTTGTAACTTTTGGCGGAGGATTTTTTTTTGAAACTTCTAAAAAAGCTTTGTTTCCAATAAGATGTGATTAAATGCATTGTTCCCATGAACGGGCTTAATTATGGACTTCCTCTTATATAAGTAATAAAGCCAGATTTAGGTTGATTGATTCACATCAAATATTTTTAAATTAAAATTAGCTATAGAAATCACTTCATGAATATAATTTACTTCATCGCAAAAATAAAGGAATTTTCTAAAAAATTAAGGATTTCTTATTTTTTTATGAAGTGACTTTTTTACTTAGCCGAAACGTACGATAATATGTATCCAAAAACTGGTTTGGTAGTTGATTAATATCTGTAAGACTTTGCTCGCCAAAAGCATAACGATTGATAGTGTGCATATCCGCTGAAAAATTTACTTTAAGATAACAGATTTGAACAATAAATTTGACCATTTGAAGCGAAGAATAAAAGGGTTATCACAGAAAAACGTTTACTCTCCTGTGAAGATCCATCCCCATACGGATTACATTCATTACTAGCGTCCGAGCGATCTGCAAATTTATTAGGCTTAAATATGAAAAGTTCGACTGAGCATTCTTCACCTTGGTACATAGTATATAGTTTATGAGATATCAATCTAACGTATTCCAACGTTAGATAATTTGGTTGTTTTTTAATATTAAAGTTGTTTTAACATTGCTTTGAACACATCAAGCAAGAACTTCTTGTGAAGTATTTAGTCCCCTTTTGTTTCCTTTCTTTTTCTTGCCTGATTTGTTCCGTTAAATTATAGACTATTCGATTACCCCCGGGATACTTTTGACCGTAATTATGCAATAAGTTCCCTAAAAATTGAAATAATAATATAAGAATCTAGGAAATCCATTATAAATTATGCATATGAACCAGAAAACTTTTGATGTCAAATTTAATACGAAACCTTGGTGGAAACAGTTATTGAAATGTTGCAACTTTTCCTTCTCTTGTCTAATTTGTTCCGTCAGATTGTATACAGTTCGATTGCCTCCTGGATAATACTGATTCCAGTTTGGAGTGAAATATCCTAAAATACGTGTTATGGCTACAAATACCTAAGAGACTCAAAAATAGTAAAATAATTTTAAATACGTTTGTTGTAAAACTGCTTCGGTATATCACTCATATCTGTAACACTTCCAGAACCATATGCATATCGATTGATGGTTTCAGTTGTTGGTGACACAGGATTTATCCCCCCAACTAAAAGCAAACTTAGTATTTTAGATACTGTAATCATAATCATCAGCAAGTTATGTGATGACAGAATGGACTAGGAAAAAATACGTTTGCAAGAATAGTGGCGCCTGATGTTTTGACTACTTGGCGAACTTGGATCTGACATTTCGCTCCCATTTTGATCCAGGGAAGGAGGCTTATACATCATGTGATAGTGACGGGGCTCCTCTGTAATATTCTTGCATTGTCAACATTATGTATTAGTCAATGAAATATTTGTAGACAACAATAAAAGAAATTCTGAAAGATTTGATGACGGAATTAATACCTACTTCATTGCTTTTTTAGAATTCTTTGCATTAATTGAAATTAAAAAATTGACGAATTCTAATGAAGAAAAATCAGTGAATTGATAAAAAAGTATTAAAACCTGAACCATATGGTACTTGCGCTCTCTGAAAAGCATTTAGATCACTTTCAAAGGTAACAGCGGGAGTGAAGAATTCCACGGGCAAATTCTGAATGTCAGAGATACTTTCAGGGGTAAAAGCACGCCTGTTCAAAGTTTCACATGACTTATTGCTCGCTAAAAATGCCTTAATTGTGGTTAGCATTCATTTATATGAATTTCACACATCCAATTCATAATTTATTTAAAAAATCTATCATTGAGTTATTAGAAAAGTCATAATCCATAATTGTTAAATACAAACATTCATTTGAAAACACGTCCCCGATTTTTTGAAATTCCACAATACTGCTCATAGTATATGGATGACGACCGATAGTTCGATCCGGTACACTTGCTGCTGTTCGCATATCTGTATTTGTTATGGAAATATAGTTAGATTACTTTCACTTTAAAAAAAAACGAAAAAACTAAAAAAAAACAAAACTAAAAAAAACACAGCCAATATTTGCATGTACAGTAAGGGGAGTACATATTTTACGGGCCAGAATCTTTTCTTTGGTACTCATTACGGCGAAATTTCGTCTTTAAAGTTATTTTTGTCATGTTTTGTTAGAAGGATAAAAAAACTGGAGAGGTTCAACCATCACTGCTACTGGAGAACAAATCTGGCACATCGCTGATGTCTGCAAGACTGTGTGATCCAAATGAATATCGGCCGACTGTTTCAGTGCTTTTTTCACGTCCTGTCCCAGCAGCCGCTAAACGAGCATCTAAAGAACCTATTGAAACAAATCATTCTAATCACTGTAAATAATTAGTAAACCAGATTAACTCAAGCAAATTGTAACTTTTTTACCTGACAAAATTTGCTTTTTTTAAAAATAAACAAACCTGTTGGCGGTACTTTTTCAAACTGTTCCGGTATATCCCTAATATCTAATAAACTTTCTGGACCAAACGCATAACGACCTATTGTTTTGACCTCTGCAGTTGCCGTAGAATCAGAATCTACAGAACGAAGAATCATGCTGGCAAAAATTTTAGACAATAGACTAATATTGTTTGTAATCATGAAAAGATAATAATATGCGCAGCACATCCTTAATATCTTTTTAGCTTTGAAACATTTCATCCGAATAATCCATTTGAAAAGTATTAAAATTTTCATAAACGTTAATATAATTAATTTGTAAAAATATAAAACATAATTTGACTTAAATCCTTAAATCAGTTGCTACTTTTTGAAACTTTTCCAAACAAGAAGTTGTCTTTTGCAAAATTTTCTCAGTAATTATCGCTTTGGAATGCTTGCTAAAGAATTATGCTTTTTGCAGAGATCAGAACAATGAATTATAGTTTCTTATCGTTGAAATATTATAATTTTATTGAAATTTTTAATCTCATTTTATAGCTCTCGTGCAATATTATTAGTGATGAAAAGAATAATGTATGTATCACTTTAATTCATGATTACCTTCTGAACTACAGGAATGAGCTGGTATCTTGTGCACTGTTGTATTCTGCTGATAAAGGTCAGGATAAGTCGTAGCTGTTATAGGTGTTTTATTAATTGAATAAAATAATGGTAGTTATTTATGAGATGCTATAACTTCATAATAATTTAGACATAAATGTCTAACGAATTGAAACACTTCCATTGCTTAAAGCTTTGGTTTCTTATTCATTCCATGAAAGTAAGCAGTAATTTTTTTGATTTCGTTGCTATATATAGCTTATTATTATTGCTTTTATCAAACTTATCACTTCGTTTTGCATATATTGTTATGCAAACTGTTGTTTCATTCATTATAAAAAATTGTATGCTTATAACACATAGTATGTTAATTTTATGTAATGAATTTTTGTATGATAAAGAAAGAATAGCATTTATCTGCAGAACTTACTTGCTTGTAGCATCTAAACAAAGCAGACTTGTAATTAATTATTTAGCAAACTGTTCAAAGCTAAGTGGTTTGAGTATTGCAAGTTTGCTGTTAATAAGTTACTATTATCAAAAAAAAATTTTTTTAATTTGTGGGATTTTGCGAAAATTTTTTGAGATGAAACAAATGGTTACTGTGATAGTGCCCATATCGTGGGTGCTGCTGTTGTTGAGCAACCCTGAAATTAACTTACAAAATCATGCCCTAAATGTATAGTTCTAAAAGACAAGTAACACTTATTATTAACTGATAGTAAGTTATCAAAAATGATTCATTCTTTAAGCCAAGTAACAATGCGGACTTCATCTATTCTTTAACAAATTACTTATGTTTCTTCGAATCCTTTGGAATACGCTGGAACTTGAAAAAATCTCGCCGCAAAAAGGGATTAATGAGTAACGGCTGCTCGTTGCCATTCATTGCTTCTCTCCGAACCTGAATATTTTTATCTTGTTCAGCAGATTTTCCATTTCATAAGTTCAAATGTTAAACTGTTATAAACCCGCAGATGCTCATCGAAATTAGGAAGCTTCCTAATCTCAGAGATCTGTGAATCGGTGAATCTCGTCCCTATGTGCTGTTGAGTGAATGTGCATGTAGTGCTGCAACTGTCATCTGACAATGATCCACTGGAACTGAAACAACGATAATGTTCTGAAATGAAAATCAAGCGAAAATTCAATTCAAAATTAATGAATTATAAGCTTTTTATCATTGATCATTGACAAAAAACTTTCCCAATAAATTTTTCATTTATTTTTTGAAATAAAAAAGTCAGTACGTTGAGGAAACTCGTGGTACAATCACATTATTCGTTTTTGCATATTTTTTCGGATCCCCACTAACGACTACTTTCTTGTGACGAAGATAGACATGAACAGGATACAACCGACTTTCAGAGAGCTTCCGGAAAAGATTACGTAGATTCTGTACCAATGACAGCATTTGCCTGTGGTCCAAATGGTCGATATGAATTGATCCAAGGACAGAATCTCTATGTGGAGCATTGTTTGGACTTTTCAACCTGCAGTTTTCCATTTTTTTAACTGCTACAAGCTTTTATAAATAAAAAACTGCGGAAAAATTTGCATTCTATTACTTACTTGCTCCAAAAATGCACTTCATGCCTATTAAGCGGGCAAAATACCAAATTTTAAATTTAAGAAACAAAATTAACCACTGAAGAGCAAAGTTAATTATGTCAATTTTATCTTGTGACACAATACGCGGTGAAGCGACTAATGCCACAATAGAATTGAGCGTTAGCTTCTGAATGTCCTGATCAGATAAAGTGTCCATAGCCGTGACAAATTTCATATAAATTTCAATCCGTGTTGAGGAAGAAACCTGAAATGCACTCCGTCAACTTCAAAAGTAATGTTTAATTCATTGAAGTCTCCAAAGGTCTTTTTTGAAACAACCATTTGTGATTCTTGCAATCAATGTTTGCAGTCTAAGAATTCTTACTTTGTTTGATTGGGTTATTACAGTTTTTTGAATTTACTATTGTATTTGTCTGCAAATATGAAATTTCGGTACTGTATTTCGAAGAATGTTTCGCTGATTAAAATGAAAACTTGAAGAATGAAGAGTGATTGATTTAGTTTAATAATGTATATATAATGGCAAATGCTAAAAATGGAATATCTGTATAGTGTAGTGTAAATACGTCGATGCAAACTTTTTTGTCGATAGAATCAAAGTAAATTTTTAAAAAATACAGATGCTTTGGTAAATAAGTAGGCAATGAATGTATGAGTGAATAGTGTAATGAGTGAACGAGTGACCTGATTAATTAAATTTAATTAATTTTTTAACTCATTAATTAATCGATTAGTTTAATTTGATTAACTAATTAATTTATCATCTCATTTAAATTAATTAGTAAATGAATGGACAAAAGTTGAAATGCAACCCAGCATTCTGGATTGGTTGCGATATTGATGCAGTGAATAATGGAATCACTTCTTGCAGATAGTAATTGCAAAATATCTTCCAAATGCTTTTGCAACCTTTCTATTTGGAGACCACCCACAACTTTCAAATACTCTCCATAATTCCCTATTTCTACACGGATCTAAAAATCTTATCGTATACGGTAGTAGTAAAGAAGAATTAAGTTGATGCTTACTTACAGTATCAATTAAAACGAATCGCTAAACTTTGCATAATCTACCCAAATTAAATATATTTGCATATTGTTCAGTAGTAAGAATTAGGCACTTCTCGTAGTCTTAAAAGAAAGCCAAAACATTTACATATTCTTCGTTATAAACAGTAAGAGATTTGTTTTTGAAAAGAAAAACCCAAAAATTTGCATATTTCCCAAATTTACGTATTTCCTACGGTAGCAGTAAAATTTGCATAATGAGCTGCAAATATGCAAAAAACAAATTTCATTTTTTTAACTTACTTCACCCCTATACATCCAGTCAATAACTGCTGATACAACATAAAATTGGCAGTTAGGCAGTGTGATGCATAATGGTGTTTGCTGGTTGTATAGCATCTAAACCAATCAAAATTTTTGATTAGACAGTAAATCTCAAATAAAACAACTGTAAACGTAACAGTAACAATCTTTTTAATTGTTTTACTACAAACAAAAACGAAACAGTACTGAAGTCATGTAAAAATAGTTAGTTCAAAATCATTACTTGTTGCTAAAGCTGAAAATTCTCTTTGCTATTTACTTCTACTATTATTTTTATTGCTTTTATTATTATTATTATTCTAGTCATTAATTTAGACGTATAGATTATTAGAAATATTCAAAAATTTAGTGCATACTCCACGAATAAAAGTTGAATGTATCGCTCCAACACTACTGTGCAGAAAGTCTGTTTCCATATTGGCGCAGATAATGCCAATATCAACTGTAGTGAAATCACGCACTCGACGCATTTCACATAAGTATTCCCCAAGTCTAATCCAATTTTCTTGAAAGTTGTTCTCCCCTAGATGCAACGTGCTAAAATTTCATCTCAAATTAGCATCTTCTCAGCTATTAATCAGTTAAAGAGTTAAATATGATTACTATTAACTTTAAATAACCAATGAATCTTTTATCTTTTCTGGATCTGATCCATAAAACCTGCTGTGGTTTAAATTTGCAAGCTAGAATGCAATTTCTATCTTAAATGACTTTTGTTTCTACTAACAGCAAGTATTCTAAAAGCTTTGAAATAATTCTGAAATTATTTTGAAAATTTATTAAGAAAGAATATTACTTAAATACAAAAATATTACGTGTCTTCATCTTTAATATTGTCAACCGATGCCATAATTAACTCAAGAATTCGAAACCCGAGCAAATTAAGCGCTTCAAGCCAACCACACAACCACTAGCCGTAGAATGATTATGAACAATGAATCTCCTACCCGCGTCTTTTGCCTTTTATCGGCAAACTTTTTTGTATAAAATTTGAATTCAGTGGGCAAAAATTTTCATATGAAATATTTGCAAATTTTCAATCTTGTTAAGCCTTCAAATGCAAAAAGCAAATTTCTTCCTTTGCACTTTTATATTTAAAAGGGCAAGAACAATAAATAACAGTAATAATGATGATAACAACAAATATAATGATAATAATATTTGTTAAATTACTAATTATTATAATAATTGTTAATTACTATCATCATATTTATGTTTATAATTGTAATTATAGTAAATATTATTATGATTCATGACAGTATATTGGTTTCTTTAGCTATAACCGTATATTTATTACTTAAATTACTGTTTAGCAAATCGAAGGGATAAATAAATCAGATTTATGCTAACTTTCGAACTTGTAATGCATGTTTAGTTTCACTAAAAATAGAAATAAATTAAAAAGAAAAAAAGACTTATCATTAATCATCATTACTTTCATATCATTATAATATGTTGTGTTGTGTGTGTTTTCGGTTAGAAAAGATTTTCATATGGCAAATGAATTATTAGATTTTGAACAAAATTTGATTTAAAAAAAAAAAAGCTATACTAATTTGTAATTATTTTTTTTCTCAAACTTTCTTCTTTTCTTTCTTGTGTTTATTCTTAGTTTTTGACTAATTTTTGAGCAATAATACCTTTTTGCATTACATTACAGCATAACTCAGAAAATTTTGCTTCAAAATATATATATACTTTTGATTGAATCAAAAATCGTGCATACATTGTGGCATACTCACAAAAGTTAAAAAAGGAGAAGAAACAGAAGATGATGGAAGGAATTGTTTTCTACTGAAAGTACATTAGTACCTCTTTTGTGACGTTAATCATTTTCATTTTCTTGTTGTTTCTTTTTACCAAAAGTTTGTTAAAAGGCAATTGAGTAAATAATTTTTATAATAATCAAAATTAGAATTATTTTTGAAGTATTTTTGCTAATTTTTTTCATTTAACTGCTTTTAACTTTTTTAATTTTTTGTCTATAATATTTAATGCAGTATTATTTTATACTCTTTTTATAATTTAAATTGAATAAATTAAATTTAAATATAATTATTTAGTAAATAAGTTTATGCTTTAAAATATAATATGTTTTGAATTAAAATAGATTGCAACGATTAAAAATTCAAAAATTTTTACATTTTTCAATCAGATAATTCATATTTTATCTTGATGTTTTTGCAACAACATTTCTACACTATGTTTTTCATTTTATCAGTATGTAAGCATTAAATTTTTTGATATTTGCACAAATTTATTCATACTGGCAAAATAGTAAAATAAATCTATAGTCAGCTTTTCAAAAATTTTCATTGTGATACTAATTTTTGTTTTAGCATTTTAGTCAAGTACGAAGTGGAAAAAGACTAATAATGAATGGAAATTACAAAATTACAGAACAATTTGAAGTAAATAATAGAAAATACAAAATATTTAATGATCAAGATCATTACTATCACAATAAACCAATAAAAGATGCTGAATATCAACGAGATTCACATGATGCAACTGAAGAACAAGCCCTTCTTCAACAAAATCGAACATTCTATTCTGAGGTCAGTTGCATTTTTATTAAATAATTTTTTATTACTTCAATTTAATACAAAAATACTGCTTGAGCTTACAAGTATTTTGGAAAATTATTAAAGCAAATAATAAATTTATACTAATCACCAGTACTTATACTTCAGAAAAATAAATTAAATACATGAAAATTTAGTTAAAACAAATTTTATAAATGATTCAATTTTAATTCAGAAAGAAACTTGATAACAATTTGATTAACTTATTTTTAAATTTACGAGTATGAATAATTAAAAGTAATAGAATTTCAATTTGCTTGATGAATGAAGTTTATAAAATTTTTTTGGAAGAGAACACTCAATTCACTTTCTACGCTTTTAATCCATTTGACTTTCTGTATTATCAGAGATATTTTGTCTACATTTTTAATCCATTTGACTTTCTGTATTATCAGAGATATTTTGTACATCAAATTTGTTTTTATTTCAAACAGAAAAGAAACTATTTTTAAAGTGTTTATTTTTGTAAAATAACTTTTTGTGAGAGACAAACTAAAATAAATCAAATGAATTTTAAAACCAGAAAACACAAGGTGTGAATGCACAAATGATGCACAAATGAATAATTACAAACACTCTGAAGAATGATATTTTTTAAATTTTTGATCAAACTGCTGCATAATCCTCATAAAAATTTATTTGAATTCATTTATTCGTAAATAAGGTATATGAAAATTTTAAATTTTTTCAGTTCTTTTGGAAATTTAGTTTAATTGAAATGTTTTCTGCAGTCGATTTCAAGCATTATTACATAATACATTTAAAAAATTTATTTCCAAACGATAATTCTAAGTGATCATAATGAACTAAATAAGCCTGAATTCTGCATATTCAAATGATAATTTTTTTAAATGATTCTGTCCTTGCAATGTAGTAGTTGATTTTTAAGTTTTTTTTTTATAAAAATTATTTTTTTGCTGCTTCTGAAATCAATTTTTGTTGAATAAAAAGAATTTTATTTGTTGATTTTGATGATTTGTGAAGTTAGGCACGAGCATTTGTTGTGATTAATAAAACAGAAAACACTGCGGTTTCATTCGGTGAGCTTATTTTTTAAATTTCAAGGTCTTAATGAAATTCGGCAAAGAAAAAATTTTAATGAATGATAGAATGTTTTCAACTCGTTTTGATTCTGATAGATATCATAACTGCGCAGTAATAGATCACTGATTAGCTGATCTTTATCATCTTTGCTCAAATTTACTTATTTTCATGCAGAATGTAAATTTTGAGCTAAAAAATAAGAACAGGGTCTTAAAAAAACTTCACTCTACTTTTGATTTATAAGCAATTTGTAGAAAGTTATAAAAATTATTTCATTCATTTCAAAACAATTAATAATTGCAAATAATTTAAACTTTTACTGTTATTGTCGCAGGAAACTACTAAAAGTTTTAAATTTATTTTATGATTTATGCATAAAACTTTCTTGTGATTTTCTTCAACTTTTGAAGAGCTTAGTATCAAGTTAAAAATTATTTATATGTATAAGTAATTCTTAGAAAATTTGCTGATGATCAAATAAACTTTTTTCTACTATAACATTATTTCAATTAATTCCAAAATGATTAAATAAGATTAAATCTGTTATGCAAGATAAATCACAGCAGTTGGTAATTTTTCATTGATATCTTCAAATATTGATAAAAGTATAAAAAGTTCAAGGCCTAAAAAATATTGAAATTTTGTATGATAAAAGAATAATTTATCAGTTTGCAGTACTGGTGATTTAAAAAATTGTTATGATAAGGTATAATATTTTGTTTTGCATATTATTTTACAAAAGCAATAATCAGTATATTTTATAAATTATATCGAACAATCAATTGTTTTATCATTTTGGGCAAAAATAAAACGATACTGTAATATTAAAAGTACATGTAACTGATGTTTTTAATTGCAACTAGTTAATTGCATTTAAACTTTTAAATATAATGCAAAAATTGTTTTTATTTGCTTGTTTTTTAGTCATTATATTATGGTTGATTCACAATACAGTTAAAATTTTATCGTTATCACTTAAAGTGAAATCAAACTTTATTCAAATTCGCTTTTGCTATAGAAGATGCTTAAAAAACGATGCCTTATTAAAATAAAATTCTGTTAAAGTAAATATCATTGAATTTCATATTTTCATTTCCAAGTAATTATTTATTTTATGCATCAGTATTGCTATTAAATCTTTCAAATTTAAGCTAAGCAACATACTGTTGTATTATTGAGTTTATTCTCCAAAAAATCACTTTACTCTTAAACAAAATTGGTCTATGAGTGATGTCAAAAAATTATGCAAAAATACTTTCACAAAATTATGTTTTTGCAAGTTTAATTTTTAATGCATTGCTTAATGTTGAAAATATTTTTGAAAAATAGATTAAGCATCAAATGTTGTCAAAAAATAGACAGTGCTCATAACAAGTAATAAGTTAAGCAAAATTATTTTTAAAAATATGCTAACAAATGAAGTAGTACCCATGCTAGGTACGGTCACAACAATACATGATGAATTCATGAATATAATTTAAATGTTTTATTAAAAGGATAGTGCATTTGGTAACTGTTCTATTTTACATCAATATTGTTAGCATAAGCTCAATCTATCAAATTTTCATATATTTATTACTATTAAATCAAATTTTTGCCCATCTGCCCTTTTTACAAACAAAAATGTGACATCTCTTACTATTAAACACCAATTTCAACAATTTATTTTTAACTCTGTCATTTTTAGCATACTTTTTTTTGTAGCATGAATTAAAATTTTTACATATCAACCAATCATCACTGAATTTCAAATGAACGCCTAAAATTTTATTTAAACAAATGTGCATGAATCATACTATCATACTATGGCTCATGTAATCAGAATCACAAGTTTTACTGCCTATTTGAATTGCTTATTAAGTAATATATATTGTAATAAAATGATTTATCTGGTGATATAATATGGCATTCCATAATTTGGATAATAATATTATTGTATATCTGAGGACATACTTTTTAATTATAATATTTATTAAATAACTTCTGTACATATCTAATTATAGCCGTATTTTGCAATTTTTTTGTACTTTATCATTCTTGCAAGATAAGCAAATATTCTTTGATGTATTTTTTTTAAGCTGTCAAAAAATTCTTTCAAAAGCAACTTTTTCAGTAAAGTTTATCTAAATGGTAAAGGTAATGTATTGCTAAGATTTTATTTCATTTTTTATTGTATGATTTTTAATATTTTATTATTTACATAACAAATTTATAATTTCTGGCTAGAAAACTTCTGTTGTTAGCATTATTGCTACAATTTTTACTTCTATTATTAACAGTAAAAATTGATACTTGAGCTGTATTAATTATGGACTTTTATTTCTGTATTATTGAAGTTCGTTTGCTATTTTTATTGTATGCGTATTTTATTTTAAGAAGTGATAAATATAAGAGATAACAAAAAAATAAGACACACAAAAACTGATAGATGTTGAAAAAAAATCTGTAAATTTTTATCAATTAAAATGTAATCGGAAAATAATAAAAATAATAGGAACTAGGAATGAGTGTTATTATCAATTATCATACTTAAGTATTAAAAAAATTGATAAGAAAATAACTATTAAAGGCGAAGTTAAACAACATTAGAAAATATAAATTAACTTTGTTGGATATTCTTAGTTGAAATTTTTAAAATTTATATTGTATACAAAATTTAGCTTTCTAATCGTTAACTGCTAATGATTTGATATTTAATACAAACAGTTTTAATATACCGTCCTTTTTTCTTCGTCACTTCAATTTCATATAATTTAATTAATTATATGCGTATGAATAAGAAATTTTGAACACATGCACAAAGAAATCCAAAGAAATAATGCCACAAATGTTACTGTCTATACTGTCTATTTTACAGTAATCATCACTTGAAAGCTTCAAAGTAGCAGTAACATGCATTGAGTAAATATGATTTAAATTTCAAATAATACTCGAAAATATATTTATTATACTACAAAAGTTGCAATATAAATTTAATTTTATTGAAAAATTTTGATAAAAATTCAGCATAGGAAACAAGTTCTTTTTCATCTTCTTGTAATTTTGTATATAATATGAGGAAACAAACTTTTGTACGAAATTACATTAAATTGTTATTTAACATTTGAAAAGAAAAGAAAAGGAAATTATTATAATTTTGCTTTTATCCAAAAGTTTTTTAGCACTCAACCAAATGAATAATTTTGAATCATATTTGACTGAAATCAATTCAATCCTTTTTTGAAAATTTTTACGCTTTCTTTTTGATGCACAGAATCAAATTCTGTGTTTCTCGTTTTGCCTTCAGATGTAATCATACTTACTCTCCATTAAACTTTTTTTACTCTCTTTTTCTTTCTATCAATCATTTTACTTACTCTTCTGTTTGCATTTCCTTCTTTTCATGAGAGAAAAATTGTCAAAATTCTACTCTACCTTCCATCTTTTTACTGACAAAACATCTGAAAATATGTTTGTATTATTACATATTCAGTACTGTTTTAATGCAATCGATGATTATCATTATTAGTGTTATGAATTGCACTTTTCATATTGTTGTATGATTTTTCATACTTCATCATTCTTATCATTGAAATCAGTAACAGCTTCTCACTTTCTGAGCCATGAAAATTTATCTATCTATTTATTTATTTCCTTAATGCTCACTACAGTTATTTTGAACAGAGAAGATTAATTATCAGCTTTAAAACATCACAGTTATATATTTTTGCTATTTTTGTAATTTTTTATCTCAAAATGCTTTTTTTTTTCTTGAATTTATGAGAAAATAATAATAATCCTCATACAGTAACTTTTAAATGAGTTATTTGAAACTGTGTTGTGAGCAAAAATTTCTCTTTCTGCTATTTACAATACTCACTTTGACTGTTATGCAAATTAGTGTAAAGCTGAACTGACACCAAAGATTATTATTATATTTTTTTGCCATTTTATCTTATATTATTATAAGTCTGATTTAATAATATTATTTTTTACAACAGAGAAAAAAATATTTGCATAATTTAAGGCATTATCACTTTCTTAGGATTAGAACAAGTTTATTATCTACTGTCACAGAAATTTCTCAAAAGAAATTTTAATTCAATTTTGATTAATATAAAATTACTTAGCCTAAAATTTGGCAATTATATAAAATCTTAATTGAAATAATATTTTTTGTGGTATTACCATATTTTATGAATTATTAAATTGAACAAATTATGTTTGATTAATGTACAGTCTTGCCTTTATCAATATTTTTTTGCAAGATTGTCTTTTTTTTTTCGGGCGTAAAATTTATCTATTCTCTGCAAATTTAAATTTTTGGAGCTCACAAAAGCACTTTTGTGCGATAGTTTCGATATGATAATATTTGAAAGGAATTCATTAAAAGGAATATACTAAACACTGAACTTTTAGTGCAATACTTCTGCCATCGGTTAATTTGAGTGCGTTTTGTTTGCGTTGACTTTTTCACTTCCTCACATAATCTTTCATTTATTTTTTTTTAATTTATAATATTTTATCATTATTTGAGATGAGAATTCTATTTATAAAAGTATTATTGTTCAGTAAGTAAGTCTTCTTTTTTTTTTTTTTGATTTGCAGGATTTCTTAAAAACAGATAATATGGTATTTGGTGTCTCAAAAGATGTAAGAAACGAAATTCAAGCAACCTTTAATCGAAAATTTATCAATATATTTCCTAAATTTTGCTTTTCAAATGGTACAAGAATAAAAATGGATGATACGTGTAAAGGTGTAGCCAGATCTCAAAGTAAAAAGCGCAAATTCTGCAATATTTGTAAGGCTCAAATTTTTGCAATGATATCTTAATAATCTAAAACGATGTTATATGATTTTTTTTAATATTATTATTTTTTCTCTTTGTAAATTTGTACATTATTTTGAGTTCAATTTGATTAAAAGGGCAAATATACAGCATATTAGCTAATAAAACTTTGTATCAAAGTTTTTGCTTGTTTAAAAAAATTGTCATGAAAAAGAAAGAGTGTAATGAATAAGAACTCACTCTGATCTAAAAATCTTGAATTTGTTATAATCAAATTAATCTTTAACAAACTGCTGAAAATTTTAGGTCAACCTCATCGGGTCGTTGGAATGCTGTTGATGGACTGGATATTTTTGGCAGGATTGGGTGTTGCCATGGCTGTGCTTTCACTTATTCTTGATTACGGTGTCGATACACTTCAAACATGTATTTATTTGTTCTACTTATTAACTGATAATTTTTTTTTTTTAAAATAACAACAGTAAAATTCTTATAAAAAATATACTTCAATAGTTAAAAATAGCAGTAGTACACGAAAATATATTTCATTTTTGCCTCACAAAATTTCAAGGAAATTATAAATTGCATATTTCATTATTATGAATGGTATAGGAATAAAATTGAATTTGTGAGATAGGAAATTGAGGAATTCATTTATACTTTCATAATTAAAGTAACATAATCATATGAACCAGTAATCAAGGTGATGTTATTGAAACAAAATAAATGTATTGGTTACAGACCACGTGAAAGTGATGGAAAAATTCAATGTATTCCATGATGCTACCACAAATTTACTGATGACTTATTTAGCATGGATGACATATGCTATGTTGTTACTTATGCTTGCAACTATAATCGTTCATTATTTGTCTATTAGTGCAATCGGTTCATTCAATTTAGCAATAATCTTAAAGTTTATAAGCAGTCAGAAATAGTTTATAATAATTAATCATTTTTATTTCCCATTTATTGGACATACAATACAAAGTTTTCTCACAAATAAAAAACGAAAATTTTATCATTATAAATTGATTATTTATGAGATCAAGTTTAGGATCTGGTATACCAGAGGTTAAAGTTATACTGCAAGGTGTGAATGTAGAGAAGCATTTAACTTTCCGCACTTTAGTCTCGAAATTAATTGGCTTAATGCTTGCGATTGGTAGTGGTTTTCCAATTGGCAAAGAGGTTAATGTCATTTTAAGCAGTATTCAGTGACCTCTATATAATAAATACCGTAGGAGTATCATAAAAACAAGTAATTATTTTTGTGGTTGTCGCAAAAATTTTGGAATTTTCATCGTTAGTAGAAGTTGTTATTTGAGATAACGAAGCAGAAATTTACGCTTACTAAACGTGACAAAAATTTTGAAGGAATTTTGTAGTTCCTGCAATTTCTAATTTTTTAGTTATAGTTGTTATATTTATAATTTATGAATATTTGTAAAATTTTAACCTTTCTAATTAAAAACAAGTAAAATATTGAACCAAATCTGTTATAAATCAATTTACAAAATCATTCAAATTGCAAAAAAAAAAAGAATCACTAGTTTAAGCTTTGATAGAAGTATGGAATTTGATATAATATTTTTACAATTCGAATAAATTATCAGTGAATTTAGCTAATGTAGTAATTAATCAACCACTTTGTACTACTGATATTTGCTAAAACTTTTATGATAAATAAGAAATTAATCCGATCTTCAAAATTTACTGATTTACTTAGGGGCCATTCGTACACATGGGCTCTGTAGTAGCGCATTTAATGCGACGTTTGGTGATAGGTATTAAACCAGCTTATGCAAACGAATCTCGAAGTAACGAATTATTGGCAGCAGGATGTGCTGCTGGTGTAGCAGCAACTTTTAGCGCTCCTGTAGGAGGTATATCATCTACAGCTTGCTTAATTTGGCATTCACTGATAAATGATTGATAAGATATCAATGAACTCAGAAGTTTTCTTGCAAATACTGAAGAGGTTTAGGAAAGTAAAGTTGAAAATAATACTTCATTGCAGGATTTCACAGGTAGTTTGGAAATTTTGCTTGGCCAAGGTAGGCAATTGTGATGTTATGCATGTAAATTGCTCTTTTTATTATTTTAGTATTCAAACAAAAATTTATATAAATGTATTAATTTAGTATTTACAAAATGTATAAAAATTTTTCTCATACAACATTGCTGTATTGTTTGGTTATTTATTGTATATGCATGTAAAATGAACAAATAATTGATGAAAATATATTTACACTTCATTTGACTGCAATTTTATTCATACTTTTTAATGAAAAAACATATTTACACTCCATTTGATTCGAATTTTGCTCATATTTCTTAATAAATTTATGCTTTACTTCAAACTTTTGTAAGTTTAAGTAATAAATCAGTAATGATGTTTTTAAAAAGTACCATAAAAGTGATTTTGATCACATTTACATTTTGTAATCATTTTTCTGCGATAATTTTTTCTAAAAAATTAAAGTAAGTATTCTTGTTAGGTGTATTATTTTCGATTGAAGTAACTACAGCGTACTTTGCTGTTCGTGATTATTGGCGTGGATTTTTTGCAGCTGCATGTGGTGCAGCTACTTTTTCCCTTTTACGTGTATGGATTCATCCATTTGAAGGTTATTTTTATCAATGATTTTTTGCTTGATTTATTTTTTGTTTTTTGAAATATAATCAACAAAATATAAGAGTATAAACTTTTATAAGTTTACTAATGATAAATGTAAAAATCATTTTAGTAACTGTGGCTGCACTATTTCAAACTAAATTCAGACATCAGTCATACTATCCTGAAGAATTACTCATCTTTGCTCTCATTGGGTAAGTAATAATTTATCAATTATTAATTTGATTTACTATGCAATAATTTTCAACAATCAAAAGATATTATTTTGAATTAGCAATAGATAAATAGATAACATATTTTAGTATTATCTGTGGTTTAGCTAGTGCAATATTTATTCTCATTCATCGACGATATGTACTTTTTCTTCGTCGCAACAACTACATGAAACAATTATTCCAAAGACAGTATGTTTTAATTAAATAAACTCATTTAATAAAATGACAAAATTTTCGAAAATTTTTTCTCAATTTTATCTATTAATGACAAATTTAAAACTGCATGATGTTAAGAAAAAAAATCTTGCAAAATGTTTAGAAATTTTGAAAAAAATTTTGCAAAATTTGTAAAAAATTTTTTCGAAAAATTTTTCTCCTAAATTTTATTGGTAATGAATGTATAATGGATTACGCATAATTACACTGAAAGAGAATAAATAACTGTGTTTTTAAATAAATTATAAGATTCAGTATTTCAGTTGGATTGTTTATCCACTTACAATTTCTATGATTTATGCAACTATAACATATCCATATGGTTTTGGACAATATATCACTGGACAAGTAACAATTTTACTTCGCTTATTTTCATTGTGCTAATTACTTCAAATTTGAACTATGAAAATTTTATGGAAATATTTTAAAGCTTTCTAAGCAAATAGACATAATAAGTGTTATCTCAGTTTTTTTCTTTTTTTTTTTTTTTTTAAATTCAAAAATTAGTTTTTATACAAAGTTAATGATAAAGATCTTTTTTGAATTAAAAGAAAATAGTGCATTCATTCTGCCAGCATAGATTTCCATTTTTTGAACAAAAAGTAATTATTAAAAAGAAAAAGTATTCATTTATGAATGAGAAATGTAGAAGTGATTAATATTTGACTTATCGTATCCATGACCTATTCCATAAAAAACACGGGGCAATGAATGGGAACACCAACATTGCATTATTTTATTTTTATTGCGTTAAGCATTTTAAAAATGGTATTTTAAAAAAGATATTTATTCGTACTTTTATTTTTTACCAACAATATTGCAATTTATATGGAAATTTTCATATTTTTTATAAGTAGTTAACAAATATATCCCTTTTTTAATAAATTTGTGCTGAAATAATTTTACTAAAATAACAATAGTATGTCGATTTTTCAATTATTTACTTGGTTGTATCGGTTTTACTTACATTATACGTCATATGTAGAAGCAATGATATTTGACAACATATGATTTTACATGTCAAATATGCTTTCTCATTCATGAATAAAAAAATTTTTAAATAACATTTTTAAATTGGCGAGAATTTATAAGCTAATGCTTTCGGCGCTTTTTTTTAAAATTGTAGACAGTGTTTGCACGATCGTTACTTGACTTCTTTGCCAATTGCACATGGCACGTAAGTCCATTGCACGCAGAAGCTTGTAATGAATTCTTGATTGCACGATGGAAAGTTCATGATTCTGTCTTCATTGAACTTATAATATTTGTCATCGGTTTTGTAAGTAGTGGAAAAAGTTTTTTTGACTTGTTATTTTTTTATTGCGCATAATTTTATGATGAATGATTTTGTGCTTTTTTAAATTTTTATGATAAGTTTAAGTTTACAAATTGCAAACTTCTGAAATAAATAAATTAATAATTTTAAGAAGTTTTTCGTACAATTTTTTATTTAAAATCACTTTTGCAGTATTTTTTGGCGATTGTTGCAAGTACATTACCAGTTCCAGCAGGAATATTTATGCCGGCATTTGTTATTGGAGCAGCAATTGGTCGGTTAATTGGAGAATTTGTAGCTTTAATTTATCCTCATGGTTTCCGTGAAGATCAACAGTTGCTCATACTTCCTGGGATTTATTCTGTTGTTGGTCAGTTCTTCATCTATAAAGCATTAAATCCTTTCTCTTATTTTTAATTGAATTTGTTTTAAAATTTTTCGTCTTAAATTTGTTTCTGACATAATTAATATCTTAAAAGATATTACTGCTTGAGATCACGATATAATATATTTGATCTAAAAATGGTTACTTAAACAGGTGCAGTATCGTTTTGCGGAGGTGTAACACATACTGTTTCTGTTTCTGTAATTGCATTTGAGTTGACTGGCCAACTATTACATATACTTCCTGTAATGGTAATGTCTTAACTTTAAATTATTTGCAATTATTGCTTGTTTTTATCTATTATTTATTTATTATTATCATCATTATTATTATAATACTATTATTATCATTACTGTTATCTCAATGAAGTTAATATGCCTTACAAAATACGGTTAAACATGTTTTTGTAAATTTTGTTTTTTTTAAAGTGGAAATAAGATCTTATATTGATAAATTTTTGTTTATTTATCACAATTTTGGATTAACTACTCATGCAGTATTTTTCGGTTTCAGATAGCAGTTATATTGGCGAATATTGTGTGTTCTTCGCTTCAACCTTCATTTTTTGAAAGTATTATTAAAATCAAACATTTACCATATTTTCCTGATATTCCAAAATTGACATCATGGTACTGCATTCCCCTTACGATATCTCATAAAAATATCAATAGAATAAAAATACAGTTTTATTCCAAGTATTTACACAGAGATCATTTATTTTACAGGGCACATGAAATATGCGTCGGACAAATTATGGTCAAAAATGTCAAATTCTTAACAAAGCAAAACACGTACTACGAATTACAAGAATTGCTTTCAAGTCCTCAAAAATTATTAGCGTATCCATTGGTCGATAACGAATGTAAATTTTTCAGTGCTTATAGCAGTTGTTAATTTCAGTACTTCGTTTCTAATACTTGGAGTAATAGATTCATCCCGACAAATTGGTAAAAAATAGTGATTTTTGAATGAACTCTGAAAAACATAGCACGAAATATAATTTGTAGCATCGATGATATTGCTAGGATCAGTAAGTCGTGAGAATTTACTGCAAATGTTGCATCGAATAGTGGGTGATGAAGCACGACACGCTGAATATTTACGACGAATTCAATCTCCCAATCAATTATCAGAAGGAGCTTTTGATCCTCCTAAGTAAGTCTATTACTTTTAATTCATCTCGTTTCATATATATAGACCATACTGCGAGTCAAGCATCAAATAAAGTATATACTTTTTGCTTACTTATTAGTAACTGCATTTTATATAAATAATTACGTTGATAACACGTTTCTCAAGTATTATTACACTTCTTAATGTATTGTTTTGCTTAGATTAAATTTCCTGTTCACATTTTCATCCCAAAATAAGCATCAGTAATTATCATGCTAAAGCCGTTACTTTGACTTTCATTCCATATCATAAGATATAGCTAGTTTTGCATTTCACAATTCTAAGATTATGATACAAAACAGTATTGTTTTTAACTCTAAACAATCAAAGTTTACTTGCTTCCTAGCTATATGCTTATTTGTTATCTACAACAACAAAACAATGTAAAATTTTGTGCTTTTCAAATTTTTGACAATAGTCTTAGAGATTATCATCTTGAAGGTACTATTTAGTGCAACTAGGTCTAGACTGAATTATTCAAATAATCTATTAATTTCGTTTGGTGACAAAATTCTGCGCTAACTGGCAATTTATTTGCGATTAAAACAGTTACTAAAATCGTAGGTTGCAAAATTGCTCTCTAAAAGTGTTATCATTCAGTGAGAAGTTCTTTTACAGGTTTTATATGGGTTGTATCTCTTCAAAAGTATCTTATGCAGATCAGAACAAACAGTCTTCACAAGAAGCACAACCACCTCCAAATGAATCACCGAATACAGAATCGCGGCGAGGATCGCTTTTAAAGACGTCGCTCAGTGATTGTGACATGCGAAAATCATGTAGAGCTGAATCAAAAAAAGAATCATCTGATGAAGTTACATACAATCGTTTAACGAAGTCTTATTCCGGGCATGATATACGTGGAACTCTCGGAAGTGAGTTTCTTATTTTAAGATATATTTACTTTACTTCTTCACAAGTTTTGAATTAAAAAAGCACATTTATGGATTAACAATTGAATAATGGTCATTTTAGATATGTTCGAGAAAATTTCGCATACATTTCGGACATGGAAGCGATCAGAAGACCTCACTGGAGAAGAAGTAAATTGCTTTTTCTTAATTCAAAATTATCATACTTAAATGAAAGTAAGAAAATTACCGTACTTGACATTCCATATGTAAATAATAAACTTTTCATAAATTTCAATTTATCTGCAAATTTTATGGTTAAAATCAACAAAAAAAATGCATTAATTTACGTAGCGTCAAATATGGGAAAAGCAACAATTGAGCAAAATAATTGATTACTCCGAAACTATCATTGACTCAGCGCCTTTTCAACTAGTAGAAAACACATCTTTGTACAAAGTTCACTCGATTTTTTCACTTCTTGGAATACGAAGAGCGTATGTGACAAAATATGGTGTATTGATTGGTGTAGTTGCTGCAAAAGAAGTAAGTAGATTTTTTTCTCTCATACTTGAAAAATGCATTTAGTCAGAGAGTTTTAATCAATTTATAAATTATAAAATAATACACAAATTATAAAAGTGATGAAGAAAATTGTACTAGGCAGAAATGATTGTGATGAATACTGCAGATTGTAACAGCATTCGAACGGATGCAAGCAGGAACTTTAACAACAACAAGCAGAAAGCCAGCTGGTGATGAACAAGAAAGAAGAAGTAGCGAGCATGGAGAAACAGGTTTATTAGAGGATGAAAGCAGCGAATCTGAATCCGATAACGAAGATCTTATTTTAGTTAGCAGTACTTCCATAAATTGCAGTTAGCGATAAGAATTTAGTACTCATGCATGAAAAAAGAATCACTGTAAAAAATCTCTATCATGTTTAAAACTAGTTTATTTCTTCAATATAATGCAGAGTAAGAATGCAGTTTTCTTGCTTATAAATCTGAAATTCATTCAGTAAATTAAAACTGCTTTTACAGCCACGAGTAGAATTTGATAAATCAACGGCAAGTGAAATTTTAGAAGCGAAATTCGCAGCCATGCGTGCTTCAAGTATGTCTCGTTTCTACTGTAAAAAGTTTTCAAATAATTATTTAGAAAAGTTTTGCATTCAAATATGTTATAGGCTTATCAGACAGGAATCGCCGTAAAAGCTATCCGAATTTTGTGAGAAAATCTCGTGAGAAACCAGTATCTCGTTCAATTGAAAGAAGAAATTATGATGGAATGTTGAAATTACGATCAAGTATGGATGAACAAGTAGTGAAGCAGAAGTTAGATGAAATTATCAGGAATCCTCAAATTTTGAAAAGTGACTCTCCAAAACAAACGACTCAATTCGATATTGAACGAGGAGTAACAAGGATTCCTTGCACAGGTGAGTAAATGATTACACTTTCTAGACAATAAACTTCTTGTCATGAAATTTATTCTAAGAATTTAGAGTTTTTTCTCAGATTGCATTAACTCTCCCTGAAATGCAGTAGCTAAATCTTAAATGATTCTTCCAGATGAGTCATTACAAACACATCTGGATCATCACCCATCGTCATCAAATCACATTCCATCAATATCATACTCAACTTCCGATGACTATGATCAAAATGTATTTTGTAAGAGCATTCGAGGATCTCATTTGACTGATCTAAATACCACTCTTATGCCAACAGCTAAATCTTTCATACAACGGCACCCATCAGTAAATTTAGTGCCGTCGCAGGCGGAACCTTCGCAACCTGATGAAAATAGAATCCAAGTATCTTAAAGTAGTAACAAAAACTTGAAAATTATCTGAATTTCAAAAACCAAACAGCTCATAAAAAGAATAGTAGCTTCGACATATCTGGTGTTTGTACACCATTAAAATTATAATTCATTACTTTAAAGATGTACAGAAGGATCATGCAAAGAAATACTGAGATATGAAACTTAAATCAAATGCTATCTTGGTAGGATTTATTCTTTTCACTCCTTATTCCATAATACCCACACCTACTTCTTCGTGATATGGTGATCTTTGAGATCAATAAGCACTTCTTTTCACACAGTTAATGAAGCAAATCACAGCCATTCCCGAAATTATATGTAATTAATTATAGCTTCAAATTAATAAAATTTTGAAAATGAGCAACATTGGCGATAATAATATGAAAATCCGTATCAAATCTTAATCCATCTCATCAACAATCTTCACCGATAACGCATAAGAAAGCACACGCAACATTAAGATCAAGATAAAAAACATATAGATAAGACAATGGGAGTAGAAAATTACGTTAGTTAGCTAGCAAAAATTTGATATAAATATGTGATAAACTAGAAGTCGTCAATCATTAACGTCATAATTTCTAATTTTGTACAAAAAATTAAGAAGGATTTACTTAGTACTGAAATATATAAGACAGGAACTCTAGAATTACTGAAGCACATGGGGAATGAGTACACAAAAGAAAGATGATCAAATTGTCGGAAGCAGTTACCATCAACATAAATCTTCATTTCTTTCTATAACTCAGAAATATTCAATAAGAACAACGAAGTTAGACAGTCCATTGGAGATAGCCAATCCGCTAAGCAATACCAATCCCATCCTCAAAGAAAGCTAATCATACACTGCTCTCACTCCAAATATCACTGACTTAACAACAAAATATTGTCCCCGTAATATTCCGGTGCTATTCTAGTTATTCGCTCTTTGTCAATGTTTTGTGCTTCTTAGTCTCTTATCTAGTTTACTGTGTCGTGAGGTCATTTGTACTTTAGAAAACATGGAACATTATTCAATACGAGCTGAAATTTATGAGAAAAATTCAGGAGAGAATAGAAAGTGAATTCGTTCCTTCATAGCAACTAAGCTGTGATAAAAAAGAGGCAAATGCAACAAAAGTGATCCATACATAAGTGAAACACTACAAACATATCATCGTTTATTTTTTCATAAAGCAAATTTAAAAAAAAAAAAAAAGAAACCCGAAAAACAAAAACATCATTTGCAAAAATAAAATAAAGGCCACAGAAGAAACTGTCATAAAAAGCAATTTGATGATGAACAAGAATGATTTAAGCTAAATTCAACGCTGTAACATTTGTCACAAAGTTATTTAAACATAGATCTTCAATGTCAAGATATGCAAAATAAGCGGAAAGAATGCTAGCTCTGGGAATTTCAATCTTTACATATTTTTGAAAAAAACAGATCAAAAATGATTATGCATGGAAGAGCAAAAACTTCCTACTTTTCGCACCTAAATAAATGAAAAAAAGTGAGTCAAAACTTTTCGATCCATTCAATGCTTATTTTTATTATCATGAATCACCAGGTAGCCATTTCTTTCTCGTATTCATCTTCTTCAAAAAATGGTTTGTCGACTGACCTATAAATTGTGCTTTTATAAAAAAATATCTATTACTTAAGAACAAGTAAAGTTGAAACATTTTTATAGCAGCCCGCTTTTTGGAGTTAGTTTTATTGATTACAAGAATAATTTTGAAAATTACTTATTTCGATTGAGCTACCAATGAATGATAAATGTGAGACTTACTCAATCATCATCGTACCGCAAAGCATGCAATCACCAGCAATCATATCACTAATCTTATCACCAACAAGCTTCAGCTCTTCTTGATATTCTGCAATAACAATATAAGAAATGATATTTTTGAAAAATACATGGAAGAATAAATTACTAAAAATCCGATACAACCAACTATATCAGTCTCACCTTTAATTTTTCTTGATGCCACGTTTGGAGATGCCGTGGATTTTTCTAACTGTTTCTGTAATATCTTTTCTTTTTCAAGCAAACTTGAGTATTTTTCTTGTTCTTTCTGCAATTAACATCAAATAATTTCTAAATCTATTAGAAGGCTATGAGCATAAATAATGTTATAAATGTATTTCAAAAAAAGATTAGAAAAAAGATGAGCATACAAACTGTACAATAAATGTAAAGAATATCTAACAAAATATCATTTTTCGTCATTTACTCAGTAATAATTTAAAATTATTTCCGAACGATTTCTGAAACAATATATCAAGTAGATACTAAAGTCCAAGAAGATTTCATTTCCATTTCTAGGCAATCCTTGTGGAAAAAATGTCGACAAGTAAATGCATAAAATGGCTTAGTCACCACAGGTTTCAAACATGAAGCACACTGATCATTGGCACGAATTATGGTGAACCTAAAACCAAATTATATTTATCAGCCATTTACAGAACAAGACCATTCCAAGATTGGCGAAGATTTTAAAACAAATGTTGAAACACAAAAAAGTATTACCTGTTTTTCATTTTTTCCACATCGTTATGAACTCGTTGCGCTATTTTTGTAGCATTTTTCATTTCTTCTTGAAGCTGCTGGAATATTTCGGTCAACGATATTTCAATACGCTGCTAATAATAAACACAGAAGCTTTTCGATTTAATAAAACTTTTTAAAACTGAATTAACCTTAATTTTTCCAGAATGTTCTTTCAGACATTCACAAAGTGGCCTCTTGAAATACTGGATAGTGGCAAACTCTGGGAAGAATGGCAATAAATCCTATAAAATCATTTAATCAAATCACAGAAACATATGTGATTATTTGATATTTTTGATACAGGAATCCATACCATCAAGCTGTAACATGACTAAAAGAAAGATTTACATGTAAAAAACATCAAAATAACCTGTATCTTAATAGCATTATCAGACTCTTTTAGCAAACTCACAGATGCAGCCACATCTCCTTGCTTTTCAATCACATAACGCGCTGTAAGACAGTTTATAAATAAGCTACAAGCATAAATCCTATCTATAAAATTAAAGGAAAAAAATGGAAAAATTACGGAACAATAACAAAATGCGGAAAAATCAAGTACAAAAATTGAATTTTTATGAAGAATCACTTTAATGAAAAACTCAACAAAGTACACACACCTATTTGCAACCAAACTTTTCGTCGAAAGTCTGCCGAAAATTTAGAATTAACTGAATTAGGTAATAAAAAATCATATTCATTCTCGACGACCTTCACCATTTGTTTTGCGCAACTTTTCGCTAATTCAACATCAATCTAAATAATGCAAGAAATGTAAGCAAATCGTTGCGGCTTACAATAAATAAATCCTATAAAATCACGTGTGAAGAATGAGGTGAAGAAAATACCGTTAAAGCAGAAGATACAGCTTCCTCATACAGTTCAGCCACACAATATAGCAGAACACAACATCGCTTCAAAGCTGCAAAAAGTAATGAGAAAGAGATTCAAAGAAAAGTATGTTCGAATAAAGATTTGGTAGCCTAAAAACGCAGAAACAAAATAGAAGCTAGGACAATATTAAAGGTCATGTGACTCACTAGTTTTTCCAACACACACTCTCAAAGCATATTCAACATCATAAGGTATTAAGTCTTTATCATAACCGTATTTTTGGAAATAATCCAAAAGTTCTTCCGGCTTAAATCTGAAATGAATTCCTTGTTATATGTAAACTAAGACCTTGAATTTTTAAAATGAAGTACAATCATATTTGTTACATGACTACTTAATGGACAAAAAACTTACTCAGCAGATAAAGTAATCATAAAATTATGCATTGCTCGACTCGCCCAATTTTCTTTTATAACAAAATTAAGATATTTCAATGCAGCAGTGACCTATAATTCACAAGTACTTACAATTCGGATTATGACGCAAGACGCAAACAAACTTCCTAAAGGAAGAAATTTTTAGACTACATACAACAAACTTTTAATTCATATAAGAAAAATTATGGAAACAAGCTTTAAATTACAAACCATCTTCGTCTTTGACACGTCCTGACAACGATACAATGATGGTAATAGGCGGTCCGAAACAAGTGCCTTACCTTCCACGATCCAAGCTGATATCAATTCCGTCGGTACTTCTTCAATTAACGTTGGAGAATGTTTATAATAGAGCTCCAAAATATGCTACAAGAATAAATATTAAGTGTAAATAATGAATATATTATACGGGAATTAATTGGACTTTTCCGCTAATTTCTTCGCAGTACCAATAATAAGATTTACCAATACCTGATTATGTATTAGTTCCAAGACTTCTTTATACTCTGCTTGCAACAAGTAAATGTTTACCATAGTTTCGTAATCTGAAAACGAACAAAAATACATTTTAGTGAATAACAAAGTTTTGTAGAAAGATGAGAGTTGTAAAAACAAACCTTTCAATCGTCTAGCAAGATACAGCTGAATATCAAAATGCGCATGCGAAGTAATCAAGCGATAAATTGCATCCCGATTTGCTTCTACTGTTGCCTGAAATTGCCTTCTTTTTTCTGTAAAAATGTAATTGTTAGTCTAAGGTTATGTTTGAGTTCAGTACAACTGCATATAGATCAAAAATTTTATTAAAAATGTTTTTTCCTGAAAATAACTTTAATTTGAGATTTTGAGATCAATATTAACCTCAACAATGGGTCGACCAAGAAACAATTCAATCTGCTGACGCATATTTTTAATTCTTTGCTCTACTACTGCAGCTTCTGCAGACAAATTAGAAATCTCTAATTGTGTTTGTTTACCATGCCGACGTAATTCAGCGAATTCTGTCAACTGTACTTCTAACAACCAGATAACTAGAATATCTCGACGTATTTTATCCTAAAATTGTATTCGACTTCATACACACCCTTTAATGAGGGCTTGAAATAAAATTTTTCAGATAAACAGCACTTTGAATACAGATGAAAAGGAACCTCCGACAATGACATCGAGTTCAATTTAAGTTCCAAGTAACGCTTGAGACCAACTCTTCGATCCTCTTTGATAGAGAGAAATTTAAGCAATGTAACTTCAAACGGATCAGTTGATTCTATAAGAACTTCTGCGGCAGCAGAGAAGCTGAAAGTTTTATGCTAACTTCAATATTTAAAAAAAAACAAGAAAATAAAGTGAAATTTACGATAAACTTGCAGCGAAGTTACAATTTTCAAGATCAAAAGATGAAAACTACACTTTTTTTCCGCAATATATTTCTCTGCCTCCTTTTTCAAAACCAGTTGATGAGGTGCCTGATCACTCAGTTTTTTTGTAATTGTCCGTGCTTTATCATACTCTCCTCGTTCCAAATAAATCTTCCAAATATCCCTGCAACAAATAAAAACTTAATAGCGTTAATATTACAAATCAGTCTAGTTCTTACAGCATTCAAATTCAGGAAGCCAAAGAACCTGAATTCTTCATTAGGGCGGTACTTCCACACTGTAGCATCTGTATATACCCAAACCATTTCAGAAACAACGTCACGATACATGCCTTTTACTTGACCCGAATCCTGAAACATAGCAATATTCGATTGAAAAATGTTGGAAAAACATCAGACAAAATGAAAACCAGTAAACTGGAAACTGTCGATACAGAACTTTAGTTACAAAAAAAGAACGGACTGTTCCAATAATATCTTCAAATGTTCGCTTTTGATTCAATAATGAAATTGCTTCGATGTGATTGGTATACAGAAGTAAAACATTATATTCTGTTAATGCGACATCAAGTGGATAACTGTAACGCCCATCAACTAAATGGTGTCTGAAATTCAAATATATAGAATTCTCTTGAAAGCCAGTTATTCTTTTCAACTGAAACAAAATGAATGCATTCAAATGTACTTTGTAAATGCGAAGAACTTCTAGCAAAATATTTTGAATGCTAGCTTTTGACTTCAAAATTTCACTTGATTTGTCATAAAAGCAACCCACTGTATGTGCACATCCTCAATGATCATATCATATGCCACTGAAGCTTTTAAATTTATCCGTCCTAATGTGTACCCATCAGCTCCAATCCAACAATATGCAGTTGGTGGATCACTGCCTATTTTGGGATACACCACAAAAGCGCTAGGTAAATTACGTTGTCCATCATCCATTGAATGGAAACGAAATGGTGCTTAAAAAAACTTGTAGTGACGATAAAATATGGGTGAAATAATTAAGATTTATAACTACTTGGCAACGATTTGCCAAAATTTTAAAAATTTCCAATACGATGGAACGAAAATTTACTGTATGATCAAATAATGTAACATAAACCTAAAACTTCTATGTACTGGAATCACAACGAAAACAGTTAACCTTTTGATGTAAATAATGGTTGTAAAATTGCAGAGGAGTGCTCAACAAATGCAGAACTCCATATTGAGCTCACAACAGGCTGTAATCCAACAACATCATGTTTGACATTGATCTCTTCTCTCAAGCAATATAACCTTCCGGGAAAACAGATAAAGAGAGCACATCTAGAAGAACCTCTCATATCATGTTCAAAATTTCTTTGTACAATAAAATACTGATGGCAGAAATTACTGATCAGATAGACTTTAAACAACGAATTAAAGTATCTCATGACCAGTAATTTAATAAAATCATTTCGCTCATAACATTTTCGCCCGATGATTATAAAAAATAGTCAGTAAGAAAAACATCATGTTTGTAATTTAAAAAGTATGAATGGGAAACAAATTTTTTAAATATTACCTATATTTTCCATCTTCATTTTCATAAAGGCACATCTCAATCCCAGTCACAGAAAAATCCTTCACACCACTTATGTTAGCGGCCAGTTCACAAAGATAATTGAGTGATCCACTTGTACTGATGGATGTTTCAAACAGAGATCCTGCATTTTGAATCCTATAGAACAATATGAAGTACAAAATTACTGAAGAATGTGATTAACAAGTCAAATACTTTTAGAAAATACTTTATTACCTATGCACTTCTTAGATTGAATCTTTTCACCTTTCAGCTACTATTTTCTTTTATTAATCTTAAAATATCTTTGGAGATTCAATACCTTTTGTAGTGCCCAATATAATAAAACCAGTGTCTACATCAGTTGAAAATTCCATGTTCCAAGCAACAGAACTGATAACATTCCCCTGCAAAATCAATTCAGAATGCTGAAAAATTAGTAGACTGACTGCCAAAAAGAAGGAGCTCATATTTCTGATAATTAGCTGCAAAAAAGCCCAAGTAGAAACAAATTTCAAGATTGTATCAAAGAAAGTTTTACTTTCAACTTTTTTAGTTGTTTTGGCAAATCACTCTTTAAATTCAAATAGAAATTGTCAGCACCAGTCGTACTTATAATTGCATGACGGCCACTAGGACTGAGATGAACATAAGCAATGCGATCATGCATTAAAAGCGGCAATACAACATCTGAAATACAACTCATAATAATTAATAAACATTCATAGATTCGAGAACAGTTCATGAAAATGAAGTGTAGCATTTCTCTAAAATTTTAAATTTTGCCCTAACCAATAAATAAAAATCATAACTTATACAAAGGGATACAGAAGCTTAAACAGCAGCTCAAACTATACCTTTTGAACTGGTCAAGTACCATTTACTGAAACCACAAAATAATTCACTGATGTAGAAATAGCAAATAAAGATTATAAAAAGCTATCTAATATTCTAAATTTTGATATAGTTTTGTAATCAGTAAAACGAAACTTTACCAATTTGTCGGCTGACATTTTGTAGAGGATAATGGAGAAGTTGCCGCGCACCAATCACCAATAACATTTCCCCATTGCTGGAGCACAAATGAGTAATTTGTCCTTTAGGCCTGTCAATCATTAAACATCAAATAAGCTTTAGTGTTTTTAGATGCATAGAAAAATAGACGGAGAAAGTGAATGAATGTATTATTAGAACAAATAGATGAAATGATTATTTTATTATTTTCAGTAACCACCTACCGGAAATCCACCGCTTTTTTAATAAATATCGTATTGTTGGAAGAGTTTGGTGCATCCATTTACAAAAATTAGATGTTATCAGTGCAAGTTTCTGAAATCTCTTATTTTGGTGATTAATGATCACATGTTTATGAACATACCAACCATGCCAACCAATCTACTCTGTTATTCATTCAAGTCAGAAAAAAAAACTACAAAACCCTGTAATTTCTTATAAACATCAAAATACAAGCAAAGCAATAATGATAAAAAGATTCCATTTTATGCCATAGAAAACAGTATGAAGTAATATGAGGACTAAAACATTGAGAAAATTAGAAAAGAACTGTACAAATTCGTGACTTTAGAGAAGATGAGAAATAAAAAAGATAATGAGGAGAGGAAAAAGTTGGATATAGCACTGAAGGACAAGAGTGCTAGCATTATACAAGCAGAGCAATAATGATAACTATACATGCAGAGTTGAGGCTTGTGAGAAACACGTCGTCTTTCACTATGTTTTGTTAGTAACTCACGTAATATGTCTTCTGTGATTCTCATTAAGTGATTGTTTGATTGCGTGGAGAGAACACTACTACACTTATAAGTAGAATAATTTAAGATATCATAACTAGACGGCATTTATATTTATATGCGTGTTCTAATAGTATATTTTTATGCCAAGTTTTATTTAATAATTTTTTTCTTTCATAATATGAGGAAAAATGAAAAAGATGTTACCAACTTTCGGCTATTATTAGACGAAAATGTTTTCATGGAACTGTTTGACATGCATGGTTAGTAATTCTAACGTCTATAACCAGTAACGAATATGTAAATGAGGTTTGTTTGAGAAAATATTGACTACTTGTCACAGCTTACTCAAATGTATGGTAAAACGCAATGATTCTGTAATTAATGATAAACATGATAATGGCAATGGTTACTGTAATTAATAATTATGATAATAGTAATGATGTTAGCATTGTGTGGGAAAATAAAAATGACACTTACGTGTGGAGGAGTAGCAGGGAACGATACCCTTCAGAAATATAATTATTCAAATCTAGCTTTTATTTTTGCATCTGATGAAAAGATTAAGTAAGTGGTTGATGAAAATAGAAGAGTGCTTGCAAATTTCGCTCTGATGCTCACATTTATTTTCAGCATCTCTTGCAAAACAGATGAATGCAAAAATAAATAAATGATTAAGTGATACGGCAATTGAATGAATTAATGCATGAATGAGTCAGAAGTCATTTTATTTTAGATAGATGTTAATAAAAGTAAACATACTATTTCACTATAATTTACAATTATTACGAATATCACTAACAATTAATACACAGATAACATGCCAAGTTATCATCAAGAATTTGTATTTATGTTTACAAATAATAATATACATTGTTTATATTAGAGCATTTGAATTATTACTGACTTCTGACTAACATTATCTGTATTATCATTTATATTGTGTTCCATAATTGTTGATATTTGCTCTGATTGCTGTCATTACTCTCAATAATATCAACAATCGTGGAATACTAGTATCATTATAATTAAAAGGATTCGTACTGTGGCTAACTATTAATGTCAGATTCTTGAAATTTTTTTTAGAAGTTCTTATGCAATTTCAACATTTTTCACGTTTCACATAATTTTGCTAATCCGTTGAACTGTCCGCAAGCGAAAAAAAAGGATTAGATTACTTGTAGATCTGTATATGTTTGTAACTGTAATAGTATGATTATAAATATTGGTAAATGCATAATTTACGTGAAGTGTTAATAAAGAAGTCACGTACGTTCATATTATATGCATTTATAATGGATTGTACCACCAATTCAAGAATTTTATTTGCACTACGCTTCAGTGGTTACTAACATAATTAACTTATCAGAAACAATTATGTAACTGTTTTGAAATATGAAATGACATAATTGTGATTACTCTAATTACAGTCAGTTGTCAATGAACAGTTCGTCAAAATGAATTGGAAGACTGTTTAAAGTGCGAAATTGAATTATGCTTTTAAAATCAAAATGGTTAAAACATGACACTTTCCCTGAACGGCAAAAAGTAGTTTGCATCGTCATTAAAACCAATACACTCATGTTATATTCCAAATGCACTTCATAATTTGTGAATACATCCGTTGAAAGAGCAATTATTTACAAAGATGACAGATCTTTTTGAAGATGGATATTAAACAAATTCAGTGGAATCCATGCAAAATTTGCAGTGCAATCTGTTTGCTATGTCAAATAAATAATCGACTTACTAGGAATCTTTAGTTAATCGCAAATAATTAAATAATTATTAGTAAATATATTTATATTTCATGAGTAAAAAGATGTTTATGCTTGAATCTAATTTTTAAAACTGTATATAAACCATGTAAAACCGTTAGGAAATATGCTTCACTGTTACGCTTGCCACTTTTCAATATTGAAATCTAAAATTGCTTGGGTAGATGAGAAATAAACGGGTGAAGTGATTTATTTTTTGACTAACTGTCAGTAATTAATTAGTAATAATTAGAACATTTCTGCAAACGACCGATGGAGTTCGTTTCTGTGGGATTGGAATTAGATTTCTGCTGATGTATACTTTCTTGCAGGAATGTTTAATATCATTTCCTGATGAATTTGCGAGTGTTTTCTCACTCATTTATTTCCCACATTTTCCCCAATTTTTTTTTTTCGAAAAAGATTGCTTCAACTAATAATTAAAATGCAAAGGATTCGTTAATAATTGTTTTTTTTCGAATTATAATATTCGTTCTAAAAGTGCTGAAAAAGTTCAGAGAAACGTGAAACTTTCTTGTCTTTTAATGATTGCTGTAATGTTACGTGATAAAAATGCTTAAAATTGATCAATTTTGTATTTGAAAAGCTTTGCATAGTTACTATTAAGTTACAAAATGCAAGTTGAAATAAATGACGAAAAAACTTGCTTTCATTAGTTCACTTATTAGCAAAATTTTTAACGAATGATTTGTTCTCGTCATTTATCAAAGTTTATTTTATCGAAAATAGTTTAGTGTACAAATAAATGTTTCCAAATGTTGCACTCTAAACACAATCAAAAGCAACACTGCGTATTTGAATATTAATCAGAATTTATACGTTTGTGCAAGTGAAAAAGTATACCTTTCTCGGCTCTTCTCTTCTTGGTGTTTTTCTCACATGCATACAAGAAGTAATAAATTATGGAGACAGAAACTGGCAGGCATTTTGTGGGTGGAACGGTCTGCTTCCAACATCACCATATATATGACAACATCACCATATGCACCATTTCACACTTATTAATTTCAAACTTTCATTTTCATTCTACATGCTTTATTTTGAGTTCAATGTGCATGTAATGTTTACTTAAAATGATGCTTTGGTTACGGAAGAAAAAAAAGGCTAAATCTGATGATTATTATCGATTACAAAAATGTTATAAAACATATCAATTGTATTGTATTCTAAACTTTTTTGATGTTTTACTAATTAAATTATGCAAAAGTATTGGGAAATTTTGACAGTTTTGTAAATTAGTCACTCAGGTCATTATAAGATTTTGCATATTATTTTAAACTGCAAAATTTATCGCTATTTGAATAACCTTATTTTTATAAGTTAAAATATTAGATAATTAATTTCAGCATTATTTGAAAAAAATGCGTTTATAGTAAACTTCAAATTATATGTTACTCAGAACTGTAATAATAAATTAATTTTGAAGCAGTTCGAATGGGCCATTGAAGTTTTATCAATTTTTATTTCAGAATTATCATTAAGCCAGATTGAGTTAACAGATGTTATATTCTGCAAGAAATTATTGAAATCAGAAGATTAACAATCTCCTTATTTGATAACAATTAAATCAAGTATATAATAAATTTGATCAGCACAAAAAAAATGCAGTAATCTTCCAGAAAAAAATTCAAATGATATTCAGATTCAGTGCGCTGAGTTGTACATTTTGGTTAAATTATCATAATGAACAAATAACTCTGGCGTGATTAATCTTTATGTGTTGTTAGACCAAATCATTTTCATGCCATACATCGTTCATGGTTTTAAAAGTATTGTGAAAACTTTTGCTTGTAGAATTACCACAATGAATTTCAAATTAAATTTTCAGTTGAATCATTTTTCCATTTAGAGTTTTTCGTCCTTAATACTAATTCAAAAATGAATATACGGAATGCATGTTTGGATAGACAGAATTTTCAATGAATGTATAAATTCATCGTAATATGCAAATATTTTTCCAAGAAATAAGAAATAAAATTAGCAATTCAAGTTCCATATCTAATACGAAAAGTGATCAACATTTTAACGGTTTTCGCCAAGTTTAATTTCTACCTTATTTTTTTAAATTGCGATTTACCAAAACATTTTTAGTGAAGCGAATTCGTTACTTACCTTAAGATAAAATGCTCAACCCACTTTACCGTAAGGAATTTTGAAATTTTTTCCAGAATTTTGCCTCAACTTCTTACTTTCTCCAAAAAAGCTTGAATCTTCGTCTCTTAAATAATATCACAAATGTTTCAAATCATTTTAAAAGAAAATTTTTTCAACTTTAAAAAAACTGCATTATCCATGACAAAAATGTATATACAGTATTAAAAGATGTTCTTCTTAAAAAATCACTTACGAATTGCTATTTCATCGAATTATGCTCAAAATTTGTACACACAATTTTGCTGAAAAATGAATAAAGTAATGTATTTATAGAGCATTCTGTTTTCAAAAATGATAATAAATGTACAAATTTTGATCATTTAAGCTCTGGAAATCCTTTGATGAAAGTGTTTATATCATTCAACAATTTTAAGATGACTATCTTTAACTAAAATAAGCCTAGCAAAAAAACGCTTTTTTTACAAATAAAAAAACACACAAAAACAATTTATTTCTTGAATTATTTTCCAATCAAGGAATGTCATTAATAGCATTATGTGGAATGCTTATTACAGTTTATAGATTAGTCTTAACTTATTTCATTTCACTGATTAAGTAATTTTGATTGCTTTTCTTCTGCTGTAAGTACCAAAAAAATAAATAATTCTACTTGC